CAGAGACTGCCCTGTTTGTTCTTTGTAGAGTGCAGAGAGGCTTTGTTGGCAAAGGATGGCATAGAACTAATAGTCCCTTTAACCAATGCAGCCATGCAGTGCTGGACCAGAGCACAGCTTCTGGTCACAGCTGGAACTCTGCACGCACAGGGAAAAGCTCCCGTGTAGCACTCTGGAAAATTAGAGAATGTTGCAACACATTCATAGAATCATAATAAAGTTGTAAGTAGCCTATAAGGCAATTGAGTCCAACCCCCTGCAGGTGATTGTCTAAATTTTTCTTGAATGCCTCCAGTGTTGGAGTACACATTAGCAGAGAAACAAGTAAATGAACCCCTGATCTTGTGTGTAATGTTAGGGCCTGTATTTGTGTTGCCAGAGTAGATGTGAGGAACCTGACATCTGGATTAGTAAGGGTTTAGTCCTTATCTCTGTATCAGCGTTGTGTAGGTCATTATGTGTCAATAGCTGCTTGAAGTTGGGGGGCTATCTGTAAGCAAGTACAGTACACTATATACCTACCTTCAGGGCTTTGGCAGAGTGAAGTATTCTTTTACAGGATAGGGTGAAGATTATGATGCATGTGAGTGTTCTCAGTTGTGGACTGAAAGTGATAGCTGTTTGGTCATTTTCTCTCCTTGGTCTGTCTTGCCTCTCTTCTTGGTACTTGTCTTGCCTGGTTAGTTTATTCCATAACCATACTGGATAGGTACTATAGTGTGAGAAATGTGTTTTGTAGATCAAGTTTGGAGTCTCTGTCTTGTGGGTATGAGCAAATGTGATTATACCTAAGGGTTTGGCTGTAAATGATAATTTTTGTGTTATGCTCAGGATGGAAGCATGAGGCATGCAAGTATGTACAGTATATCAATCAGAGGGATTTCAGTACGGTGTGGTGCTAGGATGTCTATGTTATAGCTTCACAGTGGTGTCCAAAAAGTGCACCTGTTATGTAGATTGGTCCAGGCTGAGGCTGGTGTGAGGGTGAAAGTTACTGAAATCCTAATGGGATTTCTGTAGTTTCCTTTGTGTGGATCCAGATTTAAAAATGTCATCAATGTATCTCAGATAGAGTGGGTTTTGGGTGCAGCCATTAAAGAAATGTTCCAAGTTGGCCATGAATAATTTGCATATTGTGGTGCCCAGCAAGTACGCGGGCAGTTGTGTTGATCTAGAGATGGGGGTTTATTGTCAAAGGTAAAACAGTTGTGTAAAAGCCTGAAGTTGCAGAGGGTGGTTACTTTGTCTTCATTTTGAATGGTTTTCCTGATAGGCTGTAGTCCAATTCTGTGTTGAATGTTACTATAAAGACATCCATCATGGCAACTGTGGTGTTGTCAAGGCAGTTGTGAGTGGACTGCAATTTCTGTAGTGTCTCTCCGTAGCTAGGTGCATTGGTGGCATATGGTTTGAGTCTGTCACTCTATCCACTACACCACATTGGGTTACCACACCAATGAAGCTTACTCCCTACTTAATATTTGTATTTAAGACTTCACATTAAACTAGTAGTTGTTCCGTTTATGCACCACCCTTACCGAGCTCAAAAGAGGCACACTGTGGCTGCCTCCACTTTATCCGAAGAACAACCGGAGTGAGGTTGGTCAGTTTTGGAGAGAATGTATTTCCAGCGAACACTGTGGAGTGATTTTCCTTTCAGAAAGTCACAGAGGCCTCTTGCAGTCTAAGAAGACCCTTGGCTTAAAAAAATTGGCCCCAAACCTGTCCAAGTTGCCCTGTCCCTCTCCGCTCTAAGTACTACAGCCACACCACTTCTCCCAACAGTTTTCAAGACAAAATCGCCTTAAAACCTCATAGGTAGGACTTCGCACGGAAAGAGAGCTGAACGTTGAAGAAAGAGCTGTCCGTTCTTATCAAAACAGGATGCCAGTTGCGCGCCAATCCGGCCATCTCTGCACGCTTGACAGAAGGCGCGCCCAAGGCTGGGCTCTGCAAAGCTCTTGACCTCTCCTTCAGAGTAACTCTCGGCCGGAGCCGGTGGAAGGTGTTAGCCGGCACCCCGCCTTTCCCACAAGTCAACGCGACTCTCCGTCGTCTCACGAAACCGAAAACCGCGCCGAAGCGGGGGTGGGCGCTTGTGTGGGAAATCGACTCCCGCTCCCTTCCCTTCTTCCTCCGGAGTCCGGCAAGCCTCGCCCGTTCCGCCCTCTCGCTTCGCAGCCGGCGGGAAGAAGAAAAGTTGGCTCCTTCCCGGCAGCGCTCCCTTCCCCCC